GGGACAGCCCCATGGTTGCCATGGCAGACATGAAGTCCTGAGCCGCTCCCGATAAGATGGCCTCGGCGTGGACGTTGAAGTCCCCCAGCACAAGTAGCCGTTGGGACTCCAACGCCAGGTCCGAGACCACCCCCGCTAGCTCAGTCAGGGAGTCCGTAGTGCAGCGAGGTGGACGGTACACTAAGAGAATCCCTAAACTGTCCCGGTCACCCACCCTCAGGTGGACGCATTCAAATTTTGTTGACTGCGGGATGGGGCCCCTGGTCAGACGAATGGAATCTCTATAGACCACTGCAACCCCGCCTCCCCGCCCTCCGGATCTCGGTTGGTGCTGCACAGAGAAGCCTGGTGGACAAAGCTGGGTCAAATTCACTCCTCCAGCTTCATCCAGCCAGGTCTCTGTGATGCACGCCAGATCTGCCCGTTCATCCAGGATCAAATCCTGGATGAAAGCTGTTTTACCATTGACTGATCTGGCGTTCAACAGCACCACCTTCAACCCGGCGGGACCGCCTTCCTGGTTACACCAACTTCCCACATCAGGAGACCGTTTTGGAATTACTAATGTTGATCCACGTTCCCTAGGCCGAATTAAAGGTCTCCCTTTCCCGTATCTCCCCCTCCCCACCACGACTTCTATGGGGGCTCCCCGGCCACTGGAACACCCTCCCTCCTCCATGACGCAGTCTGCATTCATAGCTTCATCCCATGCTATATTACTTCCGGGACTCCTCAGTCCACTCCATTCCTTATCTATACTACCACTGGTTACAAGAAGGGTTAACAGATACCAATACCAGGGAATGGACAGTAGCATGGGTGAGGATGTAGAAAATTCACAATAAAACACTGTCAGTCCGCTTATCCCTCGTTCTTAAAGTGCACACAAAGTTATATCAACTATACAGGTAATAAAAAGTTGTTAAAGTGCAATAGGCGTAACACTTGTTGTTAAAGTGCAATGGGCATAACACAGATAATAAAAAGTTGTTAAAGTGTAATAGACATAACACTTATTAAAGTGCAATAGACATAACACTTGATTCTGACGTGTCTACATAAAGTGCGTCATGGAGGGAGAAAAAGTGCTGAGGTAAGGCAGGTTAAAAGGACCACTTCAGTGCAAATGAGCTAAAGTGCTGACAGCTAAAGTGCTAGGATTGAAATTAAAATTTAGCAGCACCGTTCAATGTTGATAAGAATTGGTAAATTAAAGTGCCGAGCTAGGATAACAGCATCATTCAAATCGTTGATAAAAATTAATTATAGCATATAATTATAATACAATGACCACCGATGAACTAGTCCTTCCGGAGGTGGAACAGTGGGCGTCACATGGATGGCAGAGATTCGACACACGTTGCACACAGGATGGTAGCGCCCCAAGGCAGAGGAATCGTCGGTCAACACAGTTAGTCCAGTTAGTCCATATAACGTACAACACACAATCGGTCAACACAGTCAGCCAACTGATGGCACGAAGAAAAGCCAGCCTTACTTGGGCCAGGGGGTGTTGATGGACCGATAGGCCACAAGGGGCGCCGGAACGCCGGGCGCGAACAACGAGGTGCGTGATGGTAGGCGTCACACAAGATGGCGGCAGGTCTAACACAACGCAGGATCCAAGATGGCAGCGCCACAGGCAGGGGAGCAGAGCTGCAGATGTTTCAATTGGGACCACGCATTCAAGGGCCTGTAATGGCGGCAGCCCAATCGCTATGACAATGGGAAGCTCTGACTTCTAAATGTTTTTGTCTTCAAGCTATGGCACCAGTCCCTTTAATGACTATACAGAAGTGGAAAATTCAGGAAGTTTTGCTTATTACCTAGTTGCAAGACAAGAAACATCTGCCAAATCCCCCCATTACACAATTATGAAAGGGACAGGGACCCTTGCCAGTTTTCACTCTGCCATCCTCATCTCAGACAGGCATTCAAACGGACTGCTTACAGGGAAAGAGATTCCATCTAACCATTAGGAAGAACTTCCTGATGACAAGAATTGTTTGACTGGAATGTGCTGCCTCGAAGTAATGTGGAGTCTCCTTCTCTAGAGATTTTTAAGCAGAAGGGATAGATTTCTCTCACTTTCCTAGGGATAGATTTCTCTCATTTCCTGGTGTTCTTAATTATGAGCTATTTGTAAGTCCAATGTTTGTAACTCGGGGACTGCCTGAATGTGGCTTAGATCCAGGCCATCTAACAAACATCTTCCAAAATCAGCCTGAGATGAACAGAAGAGACCTTCCTCTCATTCCCACCACCTTTGGGACTCCCTTCCCAGGAAGACCTGAATGGCACCCTCCTTGCTTCTACTGGCCTTCTAGAGAGTATTATTATTATTATTATTATTATTATTATTATCTTTATTTGTACCCCGCTAGCATCTCCCGAAGGACTCGATGCAGCTTACAAAGGCCAAGGCCTCAAACACAATATAACAAAACACAAACTAAAGCAAATAAAAAACAGTTAAGCAATATTAAAACCAACAAGCAATAAAGCAATACACCAAGACACAATAAAACTGGGCCGGGCCAGAGTAGTGGGTACAGATTAAAAGTGCTGAAGTGACAGGTGATATGTAGGATTATAGGGTAAGTGCAGTGTGCCAGCAATCTTAATTTCTACTAAAGTGCTTCTGGGACTTGGTGTTGGAGTTTTCCTATTCTGGAAAGGCACATCGGAACAGCCAGGTCTTCAAGTTCTTCCTAAAGACTGCCAATGTAGGGGCCTGTCTAAGATCTTTGGGGAGGGTGTTCCAGAGTCGGGGGGCCACCACAAAAAAGGCCCTGTCTCACGTCCCCACCAGACGCGCCTGCGACGCAGGTGGAATCACGAGCAGGGCCTCTCCGGATGAACAAAGTGAGCGCGTGGGTTCGTAAACGGAGATGCGGTCACGCAGGTAGGATGGTCCCAAACCATTTACTATTGTTGTTGTTGTTGTTGTTGTTGTTGTAGGCTTTGAACAAAGGGCTATAAATACTGAATTCATATAAATCACATCATACAGAATTTAAATTGTTTATACAGCATTAACTTTTAACATGGTTATAATACTGGTTTTAATGGTGATTTATGATATGCTTTAACTATAGTTATCTTATTTTCTTAGGTGGGGAATACTCAAGAGGTGGCTCGGCCAGTTCTTTTTGCTGAAACAGAACCTAGACCTGACTATGGTCTAAGTGAATTAATTACTAGAGGGGGTTTTAAGCTGTTAAACCCATTGAAGGACAATTAATAATACTAATAATAATAATAATAATAATAATAATAATAATAATAATAGCAACACCAGATACCAAATGTAGACTCTGCAAGGAAGCAGACGAAACAATAGATCACATCCTGAGCTGCTGCAAGAAGATCGCGCAGACAGACTACAAGCAGAGGCACAACACCATTGCTCAGATGATTCATTGGAACTTGTGCCACAAATACCATCTGCCTGCGACAATGAACTGGTGGGATCACAAGCCATAAAAAGTTACAGAGAATGAACATGCCAAACTACTCTGGGACTTCTGGATTCAGATAGACAGAGTTTTGGAGCATAATATTCCTGATCTCACAATCGTGTTAAAAAACAAAGTATGGATTGTTGACGTCGCAATCCCAGGTGACAGCAGGATTGCAGAGAAACAACTGGAAAAGCTGACACAATATGAGGATTTTAAAATCGAACTGCAAAGACTCTGGCACAAACCAGTAAAGGTGGTCCCAGTGGTTTTTTAAAAAATTGTTTTATTGGTTTTTCCCACTCCCACCCTCCCCTCCTTATACATGCCATTTATACATCATGTATAAATAGTTGAAGGTGGTCCCAGTGGTGATCGGCACACTGGGTGCAGTGCCTAAAGACCTTGGCCTGCACTTAAACACAATCAACCTGACAAAATTACCATCTGCCAGCTGCAAAAGACCACCTTACTGGGATCTGCACGCATTATTCGCCGATACATCACACAGTCCTAGACACTTGGGAAGTGTCTGACGTATCTTTAATAATACCCCACCACCATCTCCCCAAAGGGGACTCGGAGCAGTTAACATGACGCCAAACCCAAAAATAACAATACAACAAAACAAAGTTCAAAGAAACAAAATAGCATCAAAATAAACACATGAAGTGGCAAAATAAAATAACATGATAGAGAGATGAAACACAGGGTGGGCCAAATGTGCTAAGAATCAAATTGATAAAATTGGTAAAACCCTGGGTGAGATAAGAGGAATGTGGTCTGGGGGAGGAGCTCAGAAGGGACAAAGAAAGAGCTGGTGTTGTCCATAGACACCTCCAAGGTCATGTGGCCAGCATGGCTGAATGGAGCACCGTTACTTTCCCACAGAAGGGTTACCTATTGATCTACTCATATTTGCATGTTTTTGAACTGCTAGGTTGGCAGAAGCTGGGGCTAGCAGCGGGAGCTCACCCCACTCCCCGGATTCGAACCTGCCAACCTTTCAGTTTGCAAGTTCAGCAGCTCAGCGGTTTAACCCACTGCACCACCCAGTATTATTATAGCATCAAGTATTATTATTACAGAGTAAAATAAGAGTGTTGTAATAATAATAATATAGCAACAGCAACAATGTAACAACAAAAACATAGTAGCAATAGTAATAACATCAATAGGTATTTAAACTCCTTCTTGACCCGTCAAAGGCTTTCATGGCCAGAATCACTGGGTTGTTGTTGGTTTTTCGGGCTGTATGGCCATGTTCTAGAAGCATTCTCTCCTGACGTTTTGCCTGCATCTGTGGCAAGCATCCTCAGAGGTTGTAAGGTTTGTTTTTCATGCAAAGAGTCATGTACCTTGGATAAATAAGGAATAGTCATAGTAGCACACAACCATACAACCTCTGAGGATGCTTGCTACAGATGTAGGCGAAACGTCAGGAGAGAATGCTTCTAGAACATGGCCATGCAGCCCAAAAGACCTACAACAACCCAATCCTTGTTCCTTGGGTAGCCCATATGGTCAGCGAAGTATTACCCCTACAAACACCCGTCCTGTCCACACTCTCTGGGAGAACGAAGGGAAGAAGGAGCCAAGCCTCTGATCTTCCTTCTTTCCTGGAGGACGCGCAGCAAACGCGCCTCCTCGTCCCCATGGCAACGGCTCCTTCCACTTTGCACGCGAAAAGGGGGGGGGGGAGCCTTTAATGCAGACGAGGTTCCGAACTTGGAAAGTTCCATTCTGAGAACGGGGGGGGGGGGGGGGGGGGAGAGAAGGAGGAGAGAGGAGCGCGCGCCGAGCTCCAAGAGAGTGCAAAGTGAGCCATTCCAATGCGATGGTGTACATTTCCCTCTTGAGGGTTCCGCAGGGCCTTTTCCTCCTTGTGGATGGATGCAATCATATATTCTTGCTGTTAGGAATTGTGGGAGTTGAAGTCCAAAACACTTGGAAGGCCCAAGTTTGCCCATGCCTGATTTATATGCATGTTAGCCACACAAAATATGTAGTTATTTCCACATATTTGTACAAGTAGTTATGAGTGTATATATATATATATAATCGACTCTATAACTAGGTTCTTGTGGGTTTTTTCGGGCTATAGGGCCATGTTCTAGAGGCATTTCTCCTGACGTTTCGCCTGCATCTATGGCAAGCATCCTCAGAGGTAGTGAGGTCTGTTGGAATTAGGACAATGGGTTTATATATCTGTGGAATGACTGGGGTGGGGCAAGGAGCTCTTCTCTGCTGGAGCTAGGTTTGAATGTTTCAACTGACCACCTTCATTAGCATTTGAAGGCCTGGCTGAGCCTGGGAAAATCTTTTGTTGAGAGGTGTTAAGATGTGCCTGGTTGTTTCCTCTCTGCTGTTTTTCTGTTGTAATTTTAGAGTTTTTTTAATACTGGTAGCCAGATTTTGTTCATTTTCATGGTCTCTCTCCTTTCTGTTGAAATTGTCCACATGCTTGTGGATTTCAATGGCTTCTCTGTGTAGTCTGACATGGTGGTTGTGAGAGTGGTCCAGCATTTCTGTGTTCTCAAATAAAATACTGTGTCCAGGTTGGTTCATCAGGTGCTCTGCTATGGCTGACTTCTCTGGTTGAAGTAGTCTGCAGTGCCTTTCATGTTCCTTGATTCGTGTTTGGGCAATTCTGCGTTTGGTGGTTCCGTATGTAGACTTGTCCACAGCTGCATGGTATATGGTAGACTCCTGCAGAGGTGAGAGGATCCCTCTTGTCCTTTGCTGAAAGTAGCATTTGTTGGATTTTCTTGGTGGGTTTGTAGATTGTTTGTATGTTGTGTTTCCTCATCAGCTTCCCTATGCGGTCAGTGGTTCCCTTGATGTATGGCAGGAACACTTTTCCTCTGGGTGGATCTTCATCTTTACTCTCATGGCTTGTTCTTGGTCTTGCAGCTCTTCTGATGTCTGAGGTGGAGTATCCATTGGCCTAGAACTCACTCCCCAAGGACATCAGGCATGCCCCAACTCTGGCAGTCTTTAGGAGGAGCCTGAAGACATGGTTGTTCCAGTGTGCCTTCCCAGAATAAGGAAACTCCCAGCAATATGTCCCTAAATGCACTTTAGCAATGATTTAGGATTGTCTGCACGCCCCTTTCCTCTCCGAAATTCTATCCTCGTTATATATTTCACCTGGTCATGCTCAGCATTATTTTTTTCTAAATTTTAGTTATTACATTTGGCCCAGCCATAGGTTTTTAATGCGTTGTTGTGCTATTGTTAATGTTTACTGCTTTTTTTGTTTATGAGTTTCATATTGTTTTGTAGGATGTTTTTTGATAATGATGAATTGTGGATTATTTTATACTGTGTCTTGTATTTTGCACCTTGTTTTTCTATGTTGTACACCGCAGTGAGTCGCCCCTGGGCTGAGAACTGCGGTATATAAGCAGAGTAAATAAAATAAATAAATAAATAAATATTGCTGTTGTTGTTTTTGCTGATGTATTGTGGGCTCAGCCTCATGTAAGCCGCACCAAGTCCCTTGGGGAGATGGTAGTGGGGTATAAATGAAGTATTATTATTATTATTATTATTATTATTATATACTCGTGAATGCACTTATATATGTGACCCATATGCACATTTATGCACTTATAACAAGCATATACCATATGTGCATTTGGTGCAGTGGGTTAAACTAACCCACACGATCTCTCCGATCATCTGGAGAGGCCCTGCTCACGATCCCACCTGCGTCGCAAGCACGTTTGGTGGGAACGAGGGACAAGGCCTTCTCTGTGGTAGCTCCCCAACTCTGGAACTCTCTCCCCAAGGACATCAGACAAGCCCCAACGTTGGCAGTCTTTAGGAAGAGCTTGAAGACGTGGCTGTTCCAGTGTGCCTTCCCTGAATAGGAAACTCCTAGCATCATGTCCCAAATGCACTTTACTAGAGATTTAAGTCTGCACACTGCACCTATCTCCAAAAAACCTATCCATTTAACCTGTCATGTCCAGCATTTTTTAAAATTTTATCCATTACATTTGGCCTGGCCTCAGTTTTAAATGCGTCATGGTGTTATTGTCTAATGTTTATTGCTATTGTTTTAATATTATTGATTTGCTTTATGAGTTTATTTATTGTTGTATTTGTTATACTGTTGTTTTATTGATGTGTTGGCCTTGGCCTCTTGTAAGCCGCACCGAGTCCTTCGGGAGATGTTAACGGGGTATAAATAAAGTTAATAATAATAATAATAACTACTGAACTGCTGAACTTGCTGACCAAAAGGTCAGTGGTTCGAATCTGGGGAGCATGGGGAGCTCCCACCGTTAGCCTCAACTTCTGCCAAACTAGCAGTTTGAAAACCTGCAAGTGTGAGTAGGTCAATAGGTACTGTTCCAGCAGGATAGTAACGGCACTCCACGCAGTCATGCCGGCCACATGACCTAGGAGGTGTCTATGGACAACACCAGCTCTTTGGCTTAGAAATGGAGATGAGCACCAACCCCCAGAGTCAGACACCATTAGACTTAATGTCAGGGGAAACCTTTACCTTATATCATCCATGCACACATGCATTTATATGTATATAAATTATCCATGTGCCCTGGCATGGTGGGTTAAACCCCTGTGCCAGCAGGACTGAAGACTGACAGGTCGCAGGTTCGAATTCGGGAAGAGGCAGATGAGCTCCCTCTATCAGCTCCAGCTCCTCATGCGGGGACATGAGAGAAGCCTCCCACGAGGATGATAAAAACATCAAATCATCCGGGCATCCCCTGGGCAAAGGTCCTTACAGACGACCAATTCTCTCACACCAGAAGCAACTTGCAGTTTCTCAAGTTGCTCCTGACACGACAAAAAAAAATCCATGTGTGCATATTTGCATCCCAATTTGGCAGAGACTATCCCTATTAATCCAATAACCCACTGCTAAAAATACATTAATCATAGTCTGCCTATGACTGAACAGATGAGTTGGCATAGATGTTGGGGCTATGCTGATCTATGGGTACGTTGTTTGCGGTACTCACTGACCCACCAAATTTCTAAAGGTCTTGAGTTCAGACCAGCCCTATGAAATATGGTTACTGTTGTTCTGCAGGCCTCTTCAGTTTGCATAAACCATTTCCCTTGTGTCACTGATAATAGTGTGTAACAAAATTAAAAAAAATGTTTCTGGTTTGAAAGTATTATTACCTACATAAATACTCCAGCCATCACTCAAGTCAAAAAAAGAAACACCATTAAAGCCCTTGCAGACTGTGTGAAAAGAATCTGCGACCCCCCCTCCTCCAAGATGAACTGAACCACCTCAACTGGGCTCTACAGGCCAATGGATACTCCACCTCAGACATCAGAAGAGCTGCAAGACCAAGAACAAGCCACGAGAGTAAAGACAAAGATCCACCCAGAGGAAAAGTGTTCTTGCCATACATCAAGGGAACCACTGACCACATAGGGAAGCTGATAAGGAAACACAACATACAAACTATCTACAGACCCACCAAGAAAATCCAACAAATGTTAAGTTCAGCAAAGGACAAGAGGGATCCTCTTACCTCTGCAGGAGTCTACCGTATACTATGCAGCTGTGGACAAGTCTACACAGGGACCACCAAGAGCAACATTACCCAAACATGAATCAAGGAACATGAAAGGCACTGCAGACTATTTCAACCAGAGAAGTCAGCCATAGCAGAGCACCTGATGAACCAACCTGGACACAGCATATTATTTGAGAACACAGAAATGCTGGACCACTCTAACAACCACTATGTCAGACTACACAGGGAAGCCATTGAAATCCACAAGCATGTGGACAATTTCAACAGAAAGGAAGAAACCATGAAAATGAACAAAATCTGGCTACCAGTGTTAAAATACTCTAAAATTAAAACAATAAATAAAAAACAAAACTCAAACACAAGAAAACTCCAGACAAGAAACAATCAAGAGCAGCTAATTACCTCTCAACAAAGGATTCCCCCAGACAGTAACAAGTCACACCTAAAAACTGTCAGGCCATCAAATGCTAATCAAGGTGGCCAATTGAAACATTCACACCTACTTCCAACAGACAAGAGTTTTTTCTCCTACCTTGGACCTTCCACAGATATATAAACCAAATTTTCCTAGTTTCCACAAACCTCACAACCTCTGAGGATGCCTTCCATAGATGCAGGTGAAACGTCAGGAGAGAATACTTCTAGAACATGGCCATACAGCCCGAAAAACCTACAACAACACTATTATTTCCTGTTTAACTGTGTGTTACTGAATTTAAAAGTAGTTGTTTTACTCCAAAAACTTCCTTTTTTTGGCTGCCACAAACTATTGCAACAAATTGAGACTCAATGAAATATTTATTGAAAAACTATAGCAAACAGTGCTTCAAGATATCCTGCAAAAACAAATCTTTTGCAGTGTAATAAATGTTTTCCATATTTTTAATGATAGAACTGATTAGGAAATGACATTTATCACCCAGGAACAAAAAGTGTGTTATATAGGGTAATTTTAAAAGTACTATTTCTTCAAAGAAACTCACCTGCCTTAGCTTTTTTGTTGTTGTGCCATTTATTACATACCCAGCAACTGTCCTGATCTAACAGACACCGTCCTAATCAACTCTTTACCATCTCACCTTTTGAGTTCCTTTTTAAAAAATGTCCTACAAGTTTCTCTCCATTTCCCCATTTTCCC